AGAAAACAAATATTTTAGATGGGAGTTTGTACAGTCCTTAAGAAATGGTATACGGTATAAACTCATTCCGAAAAATAACAATGAAATGTATGTAGGCTATATAAAGAATAATGGCACACAAGTTAAAGTTCCATTAGACAACAACTGCTACTTAAACTTATATGGAGACGAACAAAAGAAATATTTAAGAGTTTATGAAATGACGGATATGACATTGTCTAACGTAGCTCCAGCACCGTATTTATTATGACTATGGTGTTGACGCACGTGTAGACCCAAAAAAGCAAACATTATATTTAGATTATTATAGATATAAAAGATATAATGCAATAGAAAAAACGAGAATAGTATACTATTATGAAGATGACAAAAATAAATATTATAGTCAAGATTTTACATACCCTGAAAACATAAGATTATATTATAAAAAATATTCTGACACAAACCAGAAGAAACCCGAAATAGTTACACTATATTTTAAGTTCAAAAGAGACAATCCTATAATATCTCATATGTTTGATTTAATGAACCCAGTAGGTTCTATTTATACATCTATGGATGTGAGAGGTCCTCAAGCAATGTTTGGTGTTGGTGCATGGGAACAAATAGTCGACAGGTTTTTGTATTGTGCAAACTCTTCAAAGGAAACAGGGGGAAGTAAAACAATTACGGGTGAAAATTTACCTGCACACAGTCACTACATAGATTTAAGCACATCTCAAGCAGGTTGGCATAAGCATAGATATTGGGATTGGTCAGGAATGACAAAAGGTAAAGGATATGATGTTAAAGATGATGTTAAATTTGCCATAAATTGTTACTGGAGTGACACTCAGGGAGAAGGAAACCATACACATCGCGTTTCAGGATATACGCAAACAACGGGACAAAGTAAAGATTACATGCCACCTTACATGACAGTTTACGCATGGTATAGAGTTCAATGAACGCTCAATGTTTGTGAAACAAACTTTAGGAGCTCCAAAAGAGCAAACGGCATAATTTAAATTTTTATTTTAGTATAAATGAAGATTCTACCATATGGTGTTATTGGAAGAGATAAAATGGAAACCCAATATTTGATCCAAAGTTAAAATTAAAGTTACTGACAAGACAACAACTTGAAAAGTTGCTGAAACCAAAACAGAATGAAAAATGAGAAAATAAGAAAATACGGCGCTGTCGCGGTTCGAACCACAGACCTTGACCCCTCCATAACACCACCTTAGACCACTGTGCTACGTAGCCTGTCGACATAAGATTTTATAAATTGCATATTTGACGTAAATTTATTTCCCAGTTATTCAAAAATAATTAATTATTGAAGAACTGAAGGTGCTACCATGCTACCATGTTGACAACAGCCGCTAAGCGGCGAGACCTGAAGGTCTTGACATTTTGACAACAACACAGGAGGAAGGTAGTTATGAATTAATTATTGAATAACCTAAAAACATGAGACTTTGTCTCCGGACTCTTTGAGTCACTTCACGATAAAATAACGATAACATCAAATTTTTATTTTTATCATAAATGAATACCCCACAAGCTCAAAATTTACCACGAATCATAACAAGGGAGGAAATGATAAAAATGATGCAAGAACATGTTAAAAATAACAAACCACTAAAATTGAGAAAATGTGGTTATGCGGTAATGATGGAAAGAGAGATGTTGTCGAAGAGGAATAAAAATTAAATTTGGATAGAGTTTAAAAATTCATCTTTATTAAATTCATCTCTTCCAATCAATTTATTTATTCTATTAAATTCTTTTATTTTTGCTTCACTCAGTTTAAGGATTGAACGATAAGTTTCTAATTTTTCGATTATTTCTTTCCTCTCTTTATCGTTTTCAACCCCACCACATTGTGGCTTCTTTTTGTAATAACATATTTTTGATTTAATTCTGTTTAGTTTCTTTTTATATTCATCGTCTGGACTCTTGACTGCTTCGTTGTTACTCATTTCTTACGAAATAAAAAAATTAAATATTATTTAAATATAATGGAGTAATAAAATAAATCGGAATTTCTATTAATTTATTGTCAACTTCAACTAATGCATTGCCGTTAATATATCTAACAAATTTAGCTATTGTGTCAAATCTTCGTCTTCTTTTTGTCATTGATTTATCAGTTTTTCCATAATCGAGATGAATTAAAACTTTATTCCCTTGTTTAAAATTCATGAGCCCCGAATTAATTTGTTCACGTTTAACATCATTCAACCTTTCCATTTGCTTTCTAATATATTCCCATTCTTTTGAAATATCATTTTTCATTTCCACCGGTTTCATGTTTATTGTTCTATGCCATGTATTATTGTAATAATATACTAACTGCTGTATGATGGAGTCATGATTTCCATCCCAGTATATCTGACCATTAACCCCTAACGCATCTCTAAGAGTTCTCATTACCGCATCAACTATTTTATTATGAAACGTATATGGAGAGGATGAAAAGTAAAAATTAATTTGTGGGAAATAATGAGCCATAGCTGCCTGAAATCCTTTATCACCATCACCCCTTATATTATCTACTCTTTCATGATCTAGTAAGTATTGAATAGCTCTTCTTGTTTCCTGTTCTGTTTTCCCTTTCACCGGAATGCAATATAAATATCTGGTGTTAATGTTAATGGCAAATAAATAAGTAACGTTTCCTCTTGAATATTCTAAATGATCGATTTCGTATGAATATGGATATGGTGCAAATGAAGGGCGACTAAATTTTTCCTTTAACGGTTGAATTTTTGGGTCAGTTGGTTTATTTAATATTTTGAAATCCTTTTTAAAATCTTTTTGCTTCTTTAATGTTTGAAATGGATATAATAAAGTGAATGATGAAGGATTAACTGAAGGAGGAGGAGGTACTGTCGTTGGAGGGTTTGGTGTTGCAGGTGGTTTAATTTTATCTGCTTTGATTTTGGATTTCATTCCCCCTTCATTAATTCTGGATGTATTCTATTCATTTGTTTTAAATATGCTGTATATAAAGGTTTGATATACTTTCCCGCTTCGAGTTTATGTTGAAGGATGAATTCCAAAAGTTGATCTTCATTTAAAAGTCGGGCTGAATATGGTTTAACTAATGAATCATAAATTAAAGCTTGTGCTTCATTTATGGTCTGAAGGACCTGGGCGTTTTGCACCTTTTGTTTTTGTTCCTTTGGTTTTTGCGGCTCAGGATTATATAATTTATATAATTTATATAATTCATCAATATCTTCTTCTGTTAATACTTTATTTTTGAAATCTTTCAATTGTTTAAGTTGTGATTTACTTTTTCCCTTTGAATATTCATTATTTTTAATTTTGTCTTTAATTTTAGAAATTATTTTATCATGATATTTCAAAACTTCATTTTTATAATACGAATAATAATAATCCATATCATCACCCGTTATATTGTTATCATGTTTTTGGAGATATGATTTTAATTCATAATAATTAAGAAAATTTTGATTAAGTACTAAATCATCAATTAAATTTTTTAAATCTACGCTATTCATTTATATAAAAATAAAATAAGTGTTTTAAGGGTGCCCGCCTCTTTGAATCATAGTATCAAAACCATTATTTACGGTTCCTTTTGTCTCTTCTGTGGCATTTTATTAAATAAATGGCATACAACATCCATTTTCACAACATACAGCCTTAGTGTGTGCTCCTGTTAATGCAGTCTTACCGATTGTTAAGCGAGTCATTGACCCGTTTTTAAGTTGTAAATTAATATTCTGACCATCAAATATCACTTTATCATTTATTATATCCAAATAATTTTTAGGTGTTAATTGTTTATTTTGTCGTAAACTAACTCCTTTCATTTTTTGTGCAATCTTTTTAAAATCACTTCCATCAATTGAACCGTTGAATGAAGTATAACACTTAGGACATAAAGCAACCATGTTATCACCTTGTTTCTCAATTGCTAAACCCAATAACTTCTTCTCATGTGCTTTTTCTTCAGCTTTATTCTTTAATTTAGGTTTAAATTTCTCATTAAAACAGAAGAAATCAAAAGGTGCGAATTTGTAAATGTTTTTATCATAAAATTTTTTATCGGTTACAATTGCTTGAAATGCTTGAGTGTTAGGAAGATTTGGGTCGCCAGCGATTGCCCAATAAGATGAATCAGTATCACCTTCAATGAAATGAAAACGATTAACATCCATGCATTTATACATAAAATCATAAATGAAAACCAAATACCAGTATTTTGCGTTATCTAAAGTGAAGAATGCCTCTTGTAAACATGTATCACATCTATAAAATCTATCTTTAAGCATCACTTGATACGTATCCTCTCCTATTTCTCTTATGTTTTTAAACTTATTTGACATACATGCAACGCGTGCCTTCTGTGCATTCATTATTTTAGTCTTTGCGTAATTTTGTGTATTCATTGCATCGTAACCATATGATCCATTAAGTGAAATCTTGCAAAATAAACTTTTTCCTTTATTTCCTTCTAATTCAGCCTTTTGTCTTTCGTTCATAAATTCATTCGCAAATTCATTAAAACAAGTATTTTTCGTAAATGTTAAAATTGATTGAATGTCATCAATGATAAAATGAAATCTGTCTATTAGATACCAAAGATAATAAGAAGAAAATGGTTGATATTGGTTGTGTGTTGATGCTAACTGAGTTAATTTCCTCTGTTTCTGGTCAACTGGTAGATTGTTTGATTTCATGTAATTATACATAAAACCACCAATTGTTTTTTCATCTGTGATAATATCAAAGTTTCTTATTATTGGTAAAAAGTTTATGTAATCATTAATGTATTTTTCATCAATGTGACCCTTTACTTCAGCCACGAATAAAGTATTTTTCTTCTTAATTATTCCCAGTGCTTTTGCTTTCTTTGTTGCTGTATCACAAATGATAACACCATTCAATCTTCCCGGCATATACATTTTATGGTCAGTATATTGAATGAAATCATGAGGATTAGATGAAAATGATGAAGGATATAATGAATTAAAGTCAACACCAACGAAATGAGTCATAATGTTGGAAGTGTCCTCATTTGATACAGTTTTAGTTTCTGGATTATATGAAAGTTTATTAATGTGCGTGATTCCTTTAAGATTTACTCTATGTTGAACATTTGATAAACCACCAGTAATTCCATTACGGAGGATGTGATAAGCTTCAACTGAATCTAGAGTCATTGGTAAATTATTTTTTAATGTATAATTTCTTAAATTGATTCTTAAACGTTGAACATCTTCATCTTTATTTGATTTTACGACATTGCAATAACAACACATTAACTGACAATTTTCTTTGGTATGTGGTTTTTCATTATCGATTCTATCTAATGTTGGTTTATTAGCATATGTAAACGCTTTACCACACATTTTGCATTTAGATGAAAGGATTAAATCGTGATAGTATTGATAGTCATCCATTGAAACATTGTTTTTAGTATCCCTTTCTGCTTTTTCATCTTGTTTCTTATATGAATCAATTTTATATTTCCAATACTTTTTTGTTAATTCAAAACTTGATTCCACATTTTCTTCTTCTGGATATGTTTCGTTAGGATTGAAGTTCTTATATGCTAACGCGTAACGAATCATTGATGCATTCGATGATAAAGAAAGATTATGAAGCATGTCAATTTTATAAACAAATGTTTCTTCAATAATTTTATCAATTGGGTCAATCATAATTTCAACGTCTTTATTGCAATAATGAATAAAATATTCTAATCTATTCTCAAAATTTTTAGCATCATTGAGATATATTTGATAATCTGAATCGGATATTGTTTCTTGAGTTAATGCTGAATAAAATGAATCTTGAGTGAATGGTTCCACTTTATATAATTCATCTTCGTAATTCTCCCATGTGATGAATTGATAAGGGAAAAAGGATTTAACACGTGATTTATTGTTTCCGAAATCTTGAGTGAATTGGTCTAATGTTCCACCCGCTATATAATTTCTGATGTCAATAAATCTTAATTCATATGGACAGTTTGTTTTCTTTACAATGATTTGCTTAAATTGAGAAGAAGAACCCAGCATTGATTTTATTTTCCATTTTGCAGTGTTTAAATCACGAAGAATTAAATTTAAATCAAACTTTCCCGAATTAAAACCTATGATATTCACTTTATTGAATTCCTCATCTAGAAGTTCTTTAAATGCTTCCTTCTGTTTTTCATTTAATGTATGGGACAAAGTCCCCGCCGTTTGGTCCGTTTGCGGCTTCATTAATTCTTCATATTGTTCAATATTTGATTTAGCAACTAATGAACAGGTTGAAAATAAAAATTCAATCCAATCAGAGATGAACGAATCACTTGATGTTAAGCAAAAATTCCTCGTAAATGTTTTATCACGGTCTACAACCTCGCCGCTTCGGTCTGAAAGACCTTCAGGACTCAAAGAGTCCGTTTGCGGCTTTATTTTGACAGTTGATGATACCATAAATGGTTTTAAGTAAGCGTTCAAAGTTGCACATTCAGAAAGTTGAAGTTCTTCTTTAGTCTCTAATGTTTCGAAGTCAAAAGTAATATAATATCTTGTTGGTTTATAATATTCCTGCAAATTATGTGCTAATAGCCATTGATATATCTTCTGTTTCGTGATATGTGGTGCATATGGTTGCTGGGTCTTTTGCAATTGAACGTCTTGAATTAATCTTCCATTATTTTCTTTACATTTCTCACAATGCTTTAAAAATCTTCTTTGGTTTTTCCTTTCTGGGTCATCACGGATAGAATATACTTCTTCTTTGCAAAAGGGGCAAACTTTATATCCTGTGAGTGCTTCAACGTCTGTAATTCTGTCAGCGTGAAGTTTTCCACATGGACTCTGTGTTAATAAAATATTTACTGTTTCAAATTCTGGATCTATCATTATTGATTCCACTAATGGAAAGTCTACCTTATTTATGTCTATGTCTTCTGGTTGAGGGTCACAATAATAAAAATCAATATTAACGTTTAACATTCTTGCTAACCTCTCACTTTCTGATGAAATGTCAAATCCTTCATATGCATCTATGGCTTCATTTAAATAACTTCTACGAGTTTTAGGATTAACACCATCAGGAATGTTATAGAAGCGTTTAAATAACCTTCTACCTTCGGCTCTTATTTGATTATCATTCATTTTAGCTGTTCCGTTTTTGTTCATTTATGTAAGAATAAAAAATTAAAAAATCAATAAAAATAAAGTTTATTTTTTTAAAGTCCATCGTCAATAAATTGTAACTTATGTTTATGAATATATTTTGTGCCTTCTTCTGAAAGTGTTTCATCTATTTCACCATCTAATAAATTTTTAGTAGATTCCAAAAAGTAATTTTGATATCTTTCTTCATGAGATTTTTGAACTTCTGATTCTGAAGCTGGGATATTCATTAAACCCTCTACTTCATTCTCATTATATTTTTCAACTTCTCTTAATTCCTTAATTTTTTCATCTATTTCATCTCTTATTTTTTCCAGTCTTTCAATTTCATCATATTCATCATCTTTAATCCGTTCTTCATAATATTCAGGGAAAACATCAGGTTCTTTAGGTTTTTCTTCTTCAGATGTGGGATATAAGAAATTTATAACATCATCTTTATTCATTTTTCCATCATAATCTAAATCATTTAATAACTCCGCGAATTTTTGACAATTTCTTAAATAATATTTATTAACTTCATAACTCGCCTCCTCTAATATATCCTTTAAAAAAAAAAAAAAAAAAAAAAAAAAAAAAAAAAAAGGGAAGTGGGGCTTCCAGGCACTTCGTGCCTTCTAGCCCTGATGTTGATGTTTAGTATAAATGAAGTTTTTATTCGGAGGACTCTTCTTCTTCCTCCATTGCTTCTGGGAAGAAGCCTTCTTCTTGGTCGAAAACATTATATAATGTTTCACTTTTCACAAATTATATATGTTTTCATGCTTTGTCACTTTTCTGTCACTTTTCAGGAAAAAACATTTTTATTATTATATATAAATGAATTTTACAAAACCTCCGTTACCGTTCTTTGGAAATAAGAGTAAATGTAAAGATATTATATTGAGAGAACTTAAGAAACTACCGAATGGTCTAACATTGTAGATTTGTTCGGTGGAAGTTTCTATATATCTCATTTGTGCCATACAATATTTCCTGACTCAAAGATTATATGCAATGACTTCGACAACTATATGGACCGTCTAACATATTCCAGACACAAACAATATATTGAAAGAGTTAAAAGAAAAGATACCTATAGGTAAGATGGAACGTATACCATTAGATAAGAAAAATATTGTGAGAGAGGTTTTGAAAAAAGCAGAATATATAGACTGAATAGTATATTCTGCTAGACTATTATATAGTGGTGCTATATAGAGTTCATGACATTGAAACACTTATGTCAAAATTTTATATCTTAACTATACAAATGTTTCAAAGAGGACATAGAAAAATATATTGAGGGTATAGAGTTTGTGAATGTCATTGGACAGATTTGTATGAAAAAATAAAGACAAGGAAAATGTTTTCTTATAGTGGACCCGCCGTTCTATAACACATGGGATTTTCAATACCAAGTAGACTGACTTTGAGAGACTCTTAGAAACTTTAGACGTTTTACATAACCATCCATGCTTTTACTTTACATCCGATAAAAGTGGTTTGGAAACCGTTATGAGATGGTTAGAGGACATACATGACTATGAGTTTAGATATGACAAGATAGAATATGAGAGAGGTCCTATAAACTGGAGAAAGTGTCACAATAAAGAAATTTTATTGGTAAGTAACTGTGGTTTGAAATAGGACTACTTGTTTAGGTTTTTTCCATTGTGTCATTTATTTATTTGACGTGGCAGAAAAGTACAGAGAATATGAAGATGAACCAATGCCTGCAAATGTTCAGTATATGTACTCGTAAGAGATATTTTTATCTAATATTAAATGGACGCACAGAACTTAGCGAATGCGCAGCAACCTGGACAACCAAACCCAGAGAATATTCCAAATGAAGTTAGAATACAAACTGCATGGCAAACTATGGTCAAGTGCCAACAGATGTACAAATGCAAACTGCCATGTCAAATGACGCTGCGTTAGCTACCACCATGGTATGCAAATATGAGATGGAAAGAGTTTTATACAAACCCTGAAGTGGGATATAAACAACTCTATGCAGATGACGCGAACACAGGAGTTGACCCAGAGTATGTTTCTACCAGAGAGAAATAGAATGTATGAGCTCCAGTTAAAATGCTATGGAACTCAACAGGAAACGTAAGAGACTAGGCGGACATTAGATTTTACATATAGTAAAATGGGTTTCTCAGTAGTATTGGAAACTTCTTTCGAAATGTTGGAAGAGGTATATGGAATGGAATAAAATCTGTCGGAAGAGGATATGGAACGGTGTCAAAAATATTGGTAAAAGAGTAGGTCAGTTTGTTGGTATTATACCTAAAGACCCGAACAGAAGAACAAGCTCCTGTTATACAACAGCCGAACCTGCACCACAGTCTAGTTGGCAACCAAATCCAACACCTCAACCGTATTAAAATCATATTTTTACCGTTCGATAGTAGTTGTATATGAAACTAATTCTAAGTAAAACGCTGGTATAATGGAATTATTCTCTTTCTTCATCTGTTGTAAACCATACTTGAAAGTCTGAAATACTTCCACTCGCGGTTCATATAGCTTTGTAGGTTTTTCGTAAAAGTCATTTCCAAGCATAAAAAAGATTTGTGCACCAAAAAATGAAAGCATGAACTATAATAGCGTCAGAGTCGAAAACATTTTCATATGTTCCATTAGGGTTTGAGACTTCATAAAAGTCTGGTGTACTGGATATGCTGCACTGATTTAACATCCTCAAAATCTATACCATGCCAAGTTTTATATTTTGTAGAAATATAAACGTTTTCTCCAAGGTCTTCTATTTATTGATTTTAACAGTTGCATTTTTCCTGTCATAAATAATATCGAGATGGTACTCTCCTTCGTCAATGTTACTGTTTGCATATTCGATAAGATATCGTTTATTTTTTCTTGAAAAGCTTGAAGAGTTGTTTCTAAGTTTACAACAAATTCACTTGTAAAAGTTTTCCCTGTTCAAATTTCTCATACGTACGTTCTCTTGTTTAAGTATCGAATTTCAAAAGCGACCGTAAATGGGAAACCATGTATGGCTTCTGAAATGAATTCATTCTACGAAAGCCAATAGCTTTTGTGACGGATGGGTCCTTAGCCATCTTAACGGTAGTCAAAACGATAGCCTTCATGCTTTACGGTCTCTGTCTCAAACTTTGACCGACGTTAGTAAAATTCATCTTAATGTTTAGTTGTAGCAACTCTAGAATTTCTTTTTCTATTGAAAGCATATTTTATCTAGAATAAAAATTCGAAAGAAACAGCGTCTATGAGAGAAATACAACACAACCGACAACTCATTATGCAAGCTCTAAAATAAGAACACAACAAACTTTCAAACTATTCTAAGATATCTGAGTCATTGAAAGAAGGAAACTTAAAACTGACGATAAACCCAATGACAGACGAGTTTCTGTTTCAAGACAACAAGAACCATACTGTTTGTATAAATCCAACAAAAAGAACTTTAAACGAGAAACTATAGATGAACTTCTTTTGAAAGCAGATGTTGACAACAAAGCTGACAAAGAATATGTAGACGATGCAATAGCAAAAGAAGAAGAAAGAGCTAACAAAGCTTATGCAACGAAAGAGGATGTTGAAAAGAAAGCAGATAAAACATATGTTGACGATGAGTTAGCATATCTGGCTAGTGGGTTAGTGAAGAAGGCAGATAAGGAATATGTGGATGAAAAAGATGAAAAAATTAAAGAAATGGTTGACTGGTACCATGAACGGACATCGAAGATTTTAAAAACTAAAGCCGATACAGGATGGGTTTCAGGGTGTTTAGACCTTAAAGCCGACAAGAACCATACACATACCATTGCAAATATTGCAAACTTACAAGAAACCTTAAACAGGAAAAGTGACGTTGGACATACACATACCATTGCAAATATTGCAAACTTACAAAAAAAGTTAGATGACAAAGCTGACAAGAACCATACACATACAAGTTTTACAACTGTTGCTATAGAAAGTATTGAAGGAACGGTTGAAGAAACTGGTGGGGATGCATTATATTGTAAACCTCCTAACTTTCCACAAGGTTTAACATCGGATGACGACATAACGACGATGAGAAACATTAGATGTAAAGATGTTTATGTCATGAAGGATGAACATAATATTAAATTCACTGCTCAAGATTTATATGACAAGAAAGCAACAAAACAGAGCTTCAAACATTAAAGACAGAAATACTTCAAACCATTTACCCAGTTGGTTCTATTTATACGTCAATGAACTCTACCAGACCAGAAGTAGTACTTGGTTTTGGAACTTGGACTCAAATACTCGAAAGTTTTTTGTATTGTGCACACACTCCAAAGAAAACAGGTGGAAGTAAAACGATATCTGTCGACAACTTGCCACCACATAGTCATTCTGTACAACAACTTTCTGGCGACCATAGCCACTCATTAAGAGACCACCCATTTACAACTCAGAGTATGAAGCTGGCTATGACGTTTTTATCTCCAGATTATAACCATTCAGCAAAAAGACTTTTCGACAAACTGAACCAGGAGGAAACCACCAACATACTTTTACAACAACATCTACAGGACTAGGTAAAAAATACATGCCACCTTACATGACAGTTTGTGCATGGTATAGAATTGCTTAGTCGTCATTTTCAACTTCTTAGCATATTCGTCAGGAGTTGTCTTATATTTGTTAGGAACTGTCTTTGAAAGTACCACCTTGAACTTTGACAAGTTTGAAACGAGGTCTGACAATAGTAGTTTTATCTTCTGCTTGCAGTCTGTACATTTTGCCATGTTTGCCTAAAACTTCATAATATTCTCTTGTATACTTTCTTCTATTTTTACGAACACGAACGTGAGTACCTGTCGAGTTCCCATTGTTGTCATAGTCAATAGTATTTTCATATGGGTCGCGTTTAGGTATTTCTATTTTTACTTTGTCGCCTTTCTGAAGTTTGAAGCCTGGCATTCTTCTTGTTTGTCTCTTTTGACTAAACTATTAATATATAGTCTTTCTCTAAGTCGGGTTTTTTTCATTTCTTCGGGGAGTGGTTTCCCAAACCTTTTTGTTTACGGTATTGTAAATATTTAAAACTTGTCTCATCTTTGCCATGGAGAAATGTCTGTATTGTCGTCATATGACATTTCATTTGCTTCACCACCTTGTGGTTGGTTTAAGTCTCTTAAGATTTTTATACAACTGTCAATGACACCAAGAGCAGAATGGTTTTGGTCGACAATGAAATATTGGTTTACATTTTTTGAACGCAGATAGTTTTTAATATCGTCTGATTTGAAAGAACGTTCACAGTCAGATGTCAGTTTGTTGGATGGTATTTGTCAACGAAGATTGTCAAAGCAGTTTTCACATCTAAAATATTTTTGGACTGTAATGGTATGGCTTCACAGTATCTTGTGTTTTGACCGACAAATATTAGCCAGTATGGAGTCCATCTGTTCTAACTCTCGGAATGTTTTCCAAGATATCCATAAACCAAGCATTTGGTGTTGAACTAAAGATTTTTATCATGAGTGCTTTCTTTGTCGCTTTAGAAACATAGGGGTCCTTGTTTGGATTCGTCATTTTTATCCTATAAGAAATGGGTTTATTTGGCGCATTAGCAGGAGTTGCATCCAGATTTTTGCCCGCAGTGGGAACACTAGCCAGAGGTGCATTTGGAATTGGAAGGAAGATTTTGAGTACATTAGGTATACTGAAAGAGAAAGCACAGCCTATTATACAAACTGTACAGAAAGGTTGGGAGGTAGCACGAGATGCAGCAAATCTTATTCCAAATCCTGAAACAAGAGGAAAAGTTCAAGGATGGATGGACAATGTAGAAGACAAGCAGGAAACTACTATAACAAAGCAAATGACTACTATAACCAAGCAGGGCACTATATGGACCAAGGTGAAAGATTCTTTAACAGAGGATATAACCATGCACAACAGTGGGTAAACAATAACCAACCTCAACCGCCTCAAACTTGGGAATGTAAATTTTTTACTGAGATGAAATGAACAATACAGCATTGAGACAAATGGGCTCAAGATGGATTTGTCGGCTTCCAGCAGTTACACCACCACGTGTTTGTCAAGTTCTTCCTATACCTCAGGAAGTTTTAGACCGACTTAAAAAACAACAACAACCAGTTGAAAACAAACCAAACTAAAATTTTTTACTGAGATGAAATGACCGAAGAAGTTGAAACGGTAGATTTGACACCACAAACAAAAAGTTCAGAACCATTGTCAAAACCTGTCAAAGAACTTACAGATGAAGAAAAAAATTCAATAATAGAAAGTGCCAGGTCTGGAAATACAAACCCTAACTATAAAGTCACTTTTCATAGAAATGGAACGGCTAGTATCTCAAAAAAGAAACAGACTCTCACAAATAAAATATTGAAGTCTGAAGGAGCTTTCGAGACAACAGATGGAAAAGTTTACTTCACTGACCAACAGTTCATTATAGAACATCTCATTGACTTAGAGTCGAAATATTCTAAACTTTACAACAAACACAAAAAGTTGAAAGGAAAACAAAAACAAATGGCATATGATATTTATGAAGATGTTGACGACACAACTGTTCCTGCAAGTGAAGTAAAGTCAGAGGAACCGAAAAGTGACGAAAAACCGATAGAAGAAGAAAAACCAAAAACTGAAGATAAACCAAAACCAAAGTTTAGTTTCCAAACTAAACCAAGTCAACCTTCATTAGCTGGTATGGGTTGGCGTCAAAGACTTATGGCAGCCGGTGGTTATGTAAAGTAAAGAAAAAAAATATTTTTTTATTTTTATAAAAATGCCCCCATATAGAATGGACAGAAGGTCTGCTAGAATAAAAGCAGAGTTAGAAAGATATGGTTGGAAAGTTTCGAAGAAGTTTAAATATAGGAAGGGAAGACCCATAAAAGTCTATGACAAATTATCTGGTCTTCGCTATGAGATGGACTTGGAAACAGCACGTGCCAATTATCCAAACAGACTAGAGAGGTTAGAAGAAGAACGTCTTATGGACATGCCTTTCGATGTTAGTGAACCTCAAGTTGAAGGACACGACGGCTTTGCCAGATTCTACTGGAAACATGACGAACAATTGCATCCTTTGAGAAGGAAAAAAGGAAAAGGTGAAGACGCACATGCTCCCATGGAAAGAACAAGATATGCATATGAAAAGTATCGTGAAGTTAGAAGTCAAATTACATCTGGTCGAACCTTTACAGTAAACTTTGACGAAGGAAAGAACAAAGAAGGCTTCATGGGAGTACTTGCTGCCATACAAGACGGAAATAAGAAAGGATACAATCTCAGATTGACCATAACAGATTTGGACGGTCATATATACTATGCGCATGGCAATGTCACAACAGCTGCAATGCTTCTTGACGCTTTCAAGACTACAAAGAGAGAACAAATGGTTGACTCCGACTCAGACATTTTGAATGCAATTGAAGGAATTGCAAGTGTCAAGTTCGAATGGTACCAACCTAACCCTCAAGCAGTCAGACAACATGCTGGATACTTCCCCTTCATAAATAAGTCTGACATTGACTTGACAAGGTATGGAATTTACAATTCAATTGAAAAAATTGTCAATGAACCTTGTATTCTTACATGTCTCAGGAACTCTGGTCTTGTTTCAGAAGAGAAAATGAAGTATCTTGAGTCATGTGTGAAGACAAGGTACATTCTCAGAGGTCAATTGGCAAAAATTGCACCGTTGGCAAATGTCAATATCCGAGTCAACATACCTACAGCTAAAGGTTCTTCACATGACGACTATGTTGTTGACAAAGACTTACCATGGTTGAAGATTGCAATTGTCCACAACCACTTCATGTTGAACGAAAGTCTTACAAACCCATTGTTCGGAAAAGGCAAGTGCAACATTGTCAGAGCTGTTAACATTCTTTTCGAGAAAGGTTTGTTGGAACCGATTCCAGATGACAAGCTGACAGAAAGTTTTGTACCAAAAGACGAAACAAACTTTTCACTGTTAGCAAGACCAAAAGTTGTTCCAGACAAAGTTCTAGTACAAAAGAAGTACACAGTTCCAAAAGGAGTTGGATTGTTCGGATACCAACCTGAACCAGAAGAACTTCCAATGAGGTTGCAAGAACTTCAAGATGCTATAAACAAACTCCATTGAGACATCCAATCGACGTCAAATTGTATTGGAGAGCATCTGAGTTAGGTCAGAAGGTTTTATATGAAACAGGTTGCTTCGACGATGTTTATGAGATAACAGGAGAAGTTTCTCAGAAGATAAGAGACTCACTTGAATTTCCACAAACTGGACCCATTGGATGCGACAAGTTCGACTCATACGAAAAAATATACTATGTCGACCTTAACGCTGCGTACATGAGGTTCGTCCAATATATTCCAACTGGAATTCCAAACGAAGATGGTGAGTTCCCAGGAAGGAACTATACAGTTGGAAAAGTCATACAACAACTGTATGATATTAGGAAAGCTTCAAACCCCCTTGCAATGACACTCAAATTGCTTATGAATTCGACATGGGGATATTCCATTAAGAAACCTCAAGAGATGAAGAGTAAACATTATGAGAAGGTCGACAACTTTGTTGAAAGGTTCTCCCCTTTTGTTTTGAAATACGAGTTCACCGAAGGTCAAAATGGCTTAGTAACCACATTAAAACCTATTGTCGAACATTGGTCCTATCCTCAGTTCGCAAAGGCAGTCCTCGACAACTACAACAAATTCTTCTCCGAAGTCAAATCCAAAGTGAAGGTTTACTATGAGAACATTGACGCACTCATGACGAACGAAGAAGGCTATAACAAACTCATTGAAATGGGAATGGTCGGTGAAAAGATGGGTCAATTCAAATTGGACAAAATTTTCACCGAAGTTCATGTCCTCTCCAAGCGTAAGTACTGGGGCATACTTGAAGACGGCACAGAAATAAAACATTGCATGAAGTAAAAAATTTTTATTCGAATTTGAATCGGACAGGTCGAGTTACACCATTCTTGGTCTCAAACTCATATATAACCTGTTTGTTTGTATTTTCGTCGACTATGACACGAGACACGAACATTGACCAAACGGACAAAAAGTGTCATTTCAGATGGTCCCGCAGCCAATCGCATTCGAGCACTTCGAAGAAGCCTTACGTTCCAAGGGAGAGGGTGTCTGGTGCAAGGGAGAGGTCATGAGACTCTACGAGCAGTACATCCTCAATGCCTGGGAGGACAAATCGTCCTTGGATTGGCAATTCTACCAACTTCTCTGGGACGACCTCCTACGCAACTGGGATGACGAAAGAGTCCAATTCAAAGGTCGGGAACTAATTTTGCAAATTGACCTTAATTTCACATACTTATCCAAATAAACGCCTAAATTTACTCGGGGTTTCCCCCTAAAATAAAATTTTTTTACTCTTAGAACCACTCGAGGTTCTCCTTACGGTTGTTGAGCTTGTCACCGTCAATGTGTCTGACCTTCGTCTTCTTGCCTGGATTTGGAACCCATTGAATTGCGACAAGCTTGCCCATGGAGATTGAACCGCGATTCCGAAGGTTAAGGTTCAAGTGTCCCAAGTTGTTGAGGACTGGGGTAAGAACCTTGCCTGTCTCCCTGTTGCGGATTTGGTATGGGTAGGGTTGGGAAATTTCGTAAGCGTCATCGGCAACAAGGGTTGCCCAAACTTCCTTTTCTTCGTGTTTCTCTTCTTCTTCTTCTTCCTCTTCTTCCTCTTCTTCCTCTTCTTTGATAATACCTTCTTCAATTTGGTACTCACGAATTACGGTGTTGGAGGTTCTGTCCTTTCCGAGTACCTTCCAGATGGCATCTATCTCTTCGAAGAAACGGTAGATGAGTCTGGCAAGGTCTCGGTTCTCTCTCGCGTAAATGCGCAAGGTTTCCGTCAAATCGTTCAGGACTTTCTCATTGGAAGCTTGGTTCATGAGGAACTCACCTTTAAGTCCCTTCATCTCTTCCATAAGACTACTTTGGAGAGTCTTAACGGTGTTTGTCAGATGAGCTTTCAAATTCAAAATTTGAATTTGAACTGGGCGCTTGTCTGGCAACATTGAAAGGACATCTGCCATTGTGTTCGGCTTCGGTGCTTGTTCGGACATCGAAAAAATGAAGTGGTTTGAGAATGGCGGTTTTACTTCAAAAAGCTTGTTATGACGGTTAAGTCATACAACAAGTTTAAAATAATATCTTGTTCTTCTTCTGAACGTTTGTTGTCTCTTCCGATAAAAGTTTCGAACATGAGAACCAAAAAACGTTTTTTGAGATTGCGGAAGAGTTCAGGCAAACGTTCATATTCTGGATATGTTGGGAGCAGTTCAAAACATCTGAGCTGACTTTCGGACAAAATTGGGACAATGTCAGAAAATTCATCTTTGGTCGGACTGCTTGAAGGTAAGTCCCTTACATGTAAGTAGCTCTGGTAAAGTCTTCTCATTTCTGCTAACTTTTGGAGTATAGCTTCGTAGTTTAGAAGTTTCAATTTTAATTGTCTTATTCCACTCTTGACATCTAAACGGTAACTATCCATGAGGTCAAGAGTAGCTTTGGTAGCTTTAAGTGGAGCTATCTGTTCCTTGACTTGTGCAATTTTGGTTGCAATTGTGGTTTGAGCTCCTTCAAGTTCGCCGTCTATGTCGTTCTCAACGCCTTCAACCATGGCTTGAAACTCTTCATCGGTCCATTGAGATTGGTGTGGGACGAATTTAACTTGCTTCATTCAAAAAATGAAAAAAATGTTTTTACTCAAAGCGTGCCATATAGATGTTTACTGTAAAGGTACGATGTCGCCTTCTGTGTTTATGAAGAACGCCTGACCCGAGAAGTGTAAGAGTCCTCTGAGAATTTGGGCAATTCGTACAGTTGGGTTCTCTCTGTTTGGAAGTTGTATCCACGGACGCTTTGCAAAGAACTTCAAGAGGGTTTCTTTCTTCATCTCTTTTATGTCGTCTACAGGAGTGTTTTCTGGTATTTGCAGGACAATTCCGGTGTCAATTTCAATTTTAAGCGCACCTCTTCCAGACACCCAGCCTGCAATGGTCCTGTTTGACTTCAGATGGCTCAGGTAGTTCCTAACTAGCTCATTTATCTCTATAAGGTAGATTGCCTCATCTGCTGGGTCTATGTCGGTCATTGTTTCAAGACAAGTCTTTTACTTTTTCAAGACAAGTCTTTTACTTTTTCAAGACAAGTCTTTTACTTTTTCAAGACAAGTCTTTTACTTTTTCAAGACAAGTCTTTTACTTTTTCAAGACAAGACCCGTTATTTTTCAAGAAATTTTTGGTGTAAAGTTCTCAAATTTGAGAACAGTGGTCTTGATTTAAGACGATACCCGTACTTTTTCAAGACAAGTCTTTTACTTTTTCAAGACAAGTCTTTTACTTTTTCAAGACAAGTCTTTTACTTTTTCAAGACAAGTCTTTTACTTTTTCAAGACAAGTCTTTTACTTTTTCAAGACAAGTCTTTTACTTTTTCAAGACAAGTCTTTTACTTTTTCAAGACAAATCTTTTATTGTTTCAAGACAATGTCCGACGTACCACCAACCGAGTCCATTCCCAAGCCAGAGGAACCTAAAGCACCAGCCCCTGCACCTCAGCAACCTCAGTTCCAGCAAGTACCTCCGTATTACTACCAATTTCCACCTCAATGTTACTACCCACCACAAGGCTTCCCGAACTACCCTCCTCAGCCTATGCCTTACTGCCCTAACCCTTGGATGTTCATGTCAAACCCTCCACCCCAATTCCAATTCCAATCTCAATCCAAGAGAGACCAAGAGTTCGAAGAAGGTCTGAACCGCCTACGCAAAGAGTATGCTACAGCTCCAATGGAAGACGACAGGCTTTCAGTCTCTTCCCTCAAATCGACCGATTCGACTCGTACCACAGATTCGGTTCGTGACCGTGAAGACTACCTCAAGCAGTCTGAGAGACTCTTCATCCTACAACCATTTACAGTTGGAGCTCTCAAGAACATGCGCAATTACGAAGGTCAGACACCAGCTGGAGACCGTAAAACAGACGTACTCGCAAGAGCAGTCCAACTGGTCAAGACAAAGACTGAGATAGTCGACTTCATTCTTGCAGCTTGCCCATACAAGTAAAAAAATAAACAATTACGAGTTAAACTTTTTACTCTTTCTTTTCTGAGTTGTTTAGAGCTGGTTTCTCTTGTAGGAACCTTTCGTACTCTTCCATGGTCATGTAATTGCGAATTTGGTACGCAATTCCAGGTTCGTTGTTTTTGAACCTTACGTATGTAACGCTTCCATCCTCCTCAGGGAAGTAAGCTGCTAACATCTGACCAAGTTTTCTCGGTGACTCGGAGCTCATTAAAATGTCACTTTTTAAACGTTAAGTTTTTAGTCTTATTTTACCCTTTGTTTACCCTTTGTTTGTCAAGGTAGTATTGGAGTGCAATTTCTCCAAATTCTCTGTGTCGGAGTTCTTCAGCATTTTCCAAGGTGTACCTGGAGAACTCAAAGAAGTTGTCAAGAACATACTGCCATGCTGCTCTTCTGAGTTCGTCGGTATTTTGGAAGTGTTGCACCTTCGAGTCTTCGGACATGAAAAAATGACACTTTTTCTATTAAACCGTTTTGGCATTTCTCATGAGTGAGTATAGTTCTGCCGAACCATTGGAAGAGAAGAAGTACCCTTGCTGGCAAAAGACAAAAATAGTTGCCTTAGTTGTCATTGCAATTGTACTCGTAATTGAATTCATTGTACTTCTCTTCACGTACATAAAACTCAGCAATGGTATTTGCTTTAAGAAGCTACCATCTTACTAAGACTAAACACTTACATTTTTCAAGGTTGACTTTTTACAATTTGAATTTTGTTGCTGAATTCAGCAAAAATATAATTTAGGGTAGATGGGTATATCTAACCTCTTTTCTAACCTCTTTTCTACCCTCTTGAATTTTCATGAATTTTATACAGAAAATGCTTGTTTTGAGGTCGAGCCACTTTTGGCTCGACCGTATTCTTTCAACCAAAACTCATGAATTCGGCAAAAATATATTTTAGGGTAGAAGGTTAGATATAACCTCTTTTCTAACCTCTTTTCTACCCTCTTGAATTTGTCATGAGTTTTCCCGAAATAAAAAATAAAGTTGGTTTTTTTAAAAAAATATTTTTTATTTTTATTGTAAGAACATGTTAGCAACAACAGCACCAAACTCGTTAGTCATGAACCCAACTTCAATGTTAGTAGAGATGAAAAGCTTCATTCCTTCTTCATATACTTTCGAAACAAAAATCCAGAAGATAAAGCAAGAACTTTAACAAGTACTTTGACTGTTGTGCGAAAAGATGAAACAAATGAACAGTATCTTTATGACATGCAGGACCTCATCGACCATTTACCCAAATTGCCTGAAATCCAGCAACAAAAGCTTACTATTCCAGAATTCGATGAAATAGAAGTCAAAGCAACTGACTCAGTAGAAATAAAGAAGTTCATACGAAAGGTTAACTATGAGTTTCTTGGATTTCATTGCAACCACAAAGTCATGGACAAAGATTGCGATATGGTATATAAGAACATCTCTGACATATACAAATCTGGGGAGTTTAAGACCTACGACAACTTTGTTTCGTTAGTTGCAAAATGTGTATGGCAGATAAGAGATAAAGATAGAAGAGGTAAGATATGGAATGAACAGATAAAACCCGCAACTTTTGAGTTAAAGAGAGCAATTGACGCCTTAGTCATACTAGCAGGTAAGGTTTCAGAATATAACGCAAAAATGAACCCACAATGTTCTAAATGTAAAGCAGCAATGAGGAAATATAACTACTCCGTCAAAGAGATAGAACGTATGCGAAACGACTATGCTGACTTAAAGAGGGAGGCAGAGAAACCAGCAGAAGATAAAATGGACATGTTGACATTTCTAAACAAAAACTATCCAACAGCTGACGATTTCCTTCTTTCAGATGTCAAGAAGAAATATAAAGAAACCTTCGGCATTGTTAAAACATTCGATGTCCTGAGAGAAGAAATAGAAGCTACAAAACTGTTTAGAATTTCACGAATTCACAATGTTTACCATGTAAAACGCTTATAAAATAACTGGGGTAGAAAGAGGGTAGAAAACGGGTAGAATATACCCTTCTACCTAAATATATTTTTATTGAATTCTGAGTAAAAAATTCTGAGTAAAATATATTTTAGGGCTTGTGTCAAACCGTTGAGTTTTCACAAAATTTTAAAAAATAACGTTTACCATGTAAAACGTTATAAAATAACTGGGGTAGAAATGAGGGTAAAACGGTAGATATACCCTTCTACCCTAAAATATATTTTGCTGAAAAATGACCAAATTTCATGAAATTCTCTAGACCGACTTTTACAGGGTAGCCAAAACTCTATGAAATCGTGAAAAATAACAGAGTATTTTGACAACTTCAAACAAGTAGAGTAATGAACTTTATTTTTCAAGCTTGACTTTTTACAATTTGAACTTTGTTTGCGTAGATATGAATTCTGAAAGAAGTATGAGGGTCTTGTATGACTTTGTACTTCTCCCATAGTTCATGTCTGTCAAACTTACCTGCCATGGACTCTTTCATAAGTTCCATGAAATCGTCTTCGGACAATCCAGGGAAAAGTATGATATCAGTAAGTATTCTTTTAACATCCTTACTTAAACTCTTTGCTGTCTGTACACAAATGACAACTGAGATGTTAAAGTGTCTGAGCTTCTTAAGAATTCGACACATGTCTTGTTCTCTGTTCTTTAACAAAGGATGAGAAGCAAAGTCATCTAAGATAAGAAGACATCTATGAGGGTAAGTCTTCCAATCGTAAGATTGCAATTTCTTCGAAATGTATTCTATCTCTTTCTGTTTGTTTCTGAAGTGTTTCTTCTCTAATATTCTCTGCATTTCCTCATTTGGGTCTTTAAACTTCGAATTTATATACTCATTTATAGCATTGTACTTCAAAACTCTTCTTTGGTACTTCTTTATCCAATCTAACAACTCAGAGTCTTTATACATACTAACTTAGACTTTTTATAATATCTTTGAACGAATTGACGGTTTGGTCAAATTGACCAGAAGTACTACAAATGACTACTAACTCATAGAATGGGTTCTTCTCATCTAGTTCTTGTTGTTGTGCAGCCATTTTAAGATAAGTGAAAGTCTTACCCGACCCAGGTGGTGCAATTAGACCTGTTATACCATTCTGAGCAAATAAGAACTTGTCATGTATGGGTTTTATCTGAGCATTTTCTAACTTCCTCTTGTTCTTGTTTAAAACATTCTCAAATTTCTTGTCAATGTCAGCAAACTTTTTTTCTAACATATTTTTAGAAAAATTAAAATTTTTATCTTTTAGAAAATGTCTAGCGATTTCGCTATCTATATTCGAGACAAGCTTTTCGACAGCAAAACATCTGTCGACCATAAAATCTTACATAGTGTAAACAAGAAAGGTGAATTTGTTCTAAAGTTCTGTTTCTGGGAATATGACAAGAACCATAAAACATTAGCAGAGCAGTCTTAAAATTTGTCAATGACAGACTTGTTGACAGAGATGACGCCGATTGGAAAGATGAAGTCCAACAAAAGTTCTTAGAATGCAAAGAAGACACATGCGCTGTTCTTGAAGATGAAATAGAAAACAGAATAGAAGAGCTATTAAAGGACAAAGAACTTTTACAAAATATGGTTCTGAGAATTTGACATAACTCCACCAGAGAAGAAGAAGAAGAGAGAGAAGAAAGAAAAGAAAAAAGTAGAAGAAGAGAAGAAAGAACCTGAACCAGTTCCAGAGAAAAAGAAATTTGACATGTAAAAATAAAATTTTATTTTTAGAACATTTCTGGGTCAATGTCAATGTTCTCTTCCTCTTTAGGAGCAAACACTGGCTTAGACTCTAAAATCTTTTTACCCAATTTACCTTGAACTTCAACTATCTTAGACTCATAATATTCATAGTCGTCTGCTTTCTTTGGTTCATAAGGTATAACAAGTTTGTATGCTTTGCCTTCTTTAAGGTTTGAAACCTTCTGTCAAAATTTTCTTTGACTGTTAACAAACCTTCTATGTCTAAGTCTTCAAATTTCGCACCATTTTTAGTCACAATAGCAAACTTAACTGGTTCGATGTTCCAAACTTTGTCAAATGTAGACTTTTCAAAATGGTAGAAGTAAACATTCAAATAGCGAATGGGTCTAGTTCTTCTTTGTCCTGACATGTACTTGTTACTGAAATATTTCGTCATCTTTTCTATCGGATAAAAAAATATTTTTTTTAAAATTTACTCAGAAAAATTTTTCTTTGTATATACGCCGTTCTGAACATCTAAAAGATTTTTGACATTTGCCAAGAATGTTCGTTTAGAAGCTGTCATATAACCATATTCTTGACAATATTGTTTATATTCATCGTACAATGACCTTTCATCTAAACACTCAAAGTTAGTCTCATCTATAAACAGTTCATATACACTCTTGTTTGCTTCTAACAATGTTTGTCTCTCTTCGGTATGTGGAATTTGTCTTGGATTGAACTTAGAAATATCTAATGTCATGAAATATGAGAACAAGTGGTTGTAAAAGTAGTGTCAAAGTTTCTGCTAAGTCGTCAAAATATTCTGTATCTTGCATATGAGAATCTGACGTTCTGACAACTACATATCTTCTGTCAGAACTTTCTAACTTCATCGGAACAGCATTGTTTGAAACCATGATGAAGTTTGCAACATTTTCACAAACTCTTTGGTCTTTATATTTTCTTTCAACAACTCCAACTTTGTCTGTTATAAGACTCTTCAAAGCATCTGAGTTCAAAACTTTTGTTGTATCTATACTTTGAAGTTCGTTACATACTATAAGTTTCATATTCTCTATTGAAGAGTTAAATTTACCGCAGATGTTTTCTAAGTTTGTCATATTAGGGTTCGAATAGCCCTCTAACAGTTTGCAAAATATCTGTAAAGAAAGTGTTCTTACCAGTTCCTTGTTTTCCAATTATAATGAGAGCAGTTTCATTTTAGCACTTGGATGTTGTAAGATGTTTGCAAACCAACATAAGATATACTCATAGACTCTTCGTTTCCATTGCATATAATTTCTTTGACATGGTCTAACCAAGCTTCTATAACATTTTCTTTCCATTCTACTTGTTCGTATTTATATCCAGTGAAGATAGAATAGAAGTTTGGAGAAGGTGTATAGAACTTTATACCACGAACTGAAAAATCTTCTAACTTTGACAATAAGATATCCCAAGCATCTAACATCTTCAACCAACTTGTACGACTTTTATTTTCTTAAGTTTCTGTCTACATTCTTGTTCTGAAACTATTGTTGCTCTTGGTTTGTTAAAGACAACATCCCATTCTTTCATGACATAACATTCTGGGGCAGAGTCAACATAAATGACTAAACGTTTCAAATTCTCGACTGCTTTGTTATAGTCTCGAAATGGACACATATTTCTGAATGCTTGGAAGTCATAAAAATCTGAAACATCTATTCTGTACATTTTATAAAAATAAAAAAAATATTTTTTTTTATTCTTGAGCTATTTGTTGCATTTGTTGTTCTTGAGCTATTTGTTGTTGAAGTTGTTCTTGTATACAATACTTTCACCAGTTGCATCTTCCAATTCGAAACTTTCTGCCGTCATTGACAAATACATAGGACATAAAAGTTTTACAGGAACAAAGTTTGCGTCAACTAAGGTTAAGTTTATGTTTGCTAAAGTGTTTGAGTTCACTAAAGCTGAAAACTCTGCATTCGAATGAACAATAGGCAAACCAGCAGAGAAAGTGTTGTTTATACGCATGAGTATCTTTTGGTCATAGTAGTTTCTGTCGACATTCGAATAGCACTTTGAACCTAAGTTTGAAACAATATATAAAATAGGTGTACTTAAAGTCAATGGAACAGACATTCCTTGTATGACACCTTTTCCTGTTATAGGAAACTGTTGGTAGTAAAAACCAGAATAAGTTTTGTATTATAGCTCATATCGTTTATAGTAAACTCAGTCGGACATCCAAACATAATGAAACCTGCTCTAGTTGCAGCACATGTTACATCCGTCCTTAAAGTATTAAATAAGTCAACAAAACCTGTTGGTGGTATATCTGAGTAAGTATCTTCAAAGAAGTATTTTTTACCATTCACAACAACAAAGTCTTCTGGTGTCAAAAGAGCAAAACAGGCTTTAGTCGTCATCGTGTTTAAGGTCAGTTTACAATATCGTCCTTGAGGACTTTGTAAGTTTGTTGTTATAGAATTATATGACTCAGGGTTTTTAGTCGTAATAGTATAAACCACTATGTCTTCTGCCATTTACTTAGCAAGTAAATTTTAATGAAATGTTGTGGTCGTCAAATATTTTTATGACGTCTGGGAAACTATATTTTAAGTTCAACGTTTCACCTCCTTTCATAACGTATATCTTGTCAATGACATTATATGAAACACCACAGCAACAATGTCGGGTTCTATTTCTTTGATGTTTATATCGTCTGCCTCTGTCAAAAGTTTCAATAGTTCTTTCAAAACTTCATGAGGTGCAATGACATATGAGTTCACTTTTACAGGGTTGTGTTCGACCAAGTTTAACATTATACCAAAGCTGACAAATCTTCTCCTGAGTTTTAAGTTTGTCTTTAAGTTGTTGGTAGTCGTTTCGAATATCTGCAACAGAACTTAAGTCTCTGCTAACTTCAGGATATGTTGGTTGTTCTTTTACAGGAACTATTGTTATACCATCTTCGTCTTCGTATGGTTTCCCCACTTCAACATCTCTTTCTTTGACATTGACAACAACACTTTGACTGTTTGTTTGAGTTGGTGAATTTAACTTCACATCTGCCACCGCCATTAAACCTTTTGAAACACTTACGCTTCTATTTTTCGGAAATGACATTTTACTTAGAATAAAAAGATGGACGTATTCGAGTATCTCTTCGAATTGAAGCAAACAAAGTTTACACACACAAACAATACAAATACATTGACAGAATAGTTCTTTACACAAACAATGGAAAATGTTATAGAATAGCAGTCTTTGCTGAACCAAAATATTTTCATAAAGCAAA